AGATGGACACTAATATTAACATGCAAAATATTTTTGTGTGTATACAATATATTTTCTTCTCTGGCTAACAAATCTTATAGTAGTTCAGTGCCACTTTTGAATGTTGTTTGGATAATTTTGTAGGTATTTTTCCTGAGGCCTAGTGGGAGTCCTGATGTGTGCCCCCCGCATCTACACGTGGAGGATACCTTCGTCCCGTGGTTCTGAATGACCTTTTGAGCCTTTTCCACCTTGTCTGATTCAATGTTTACCACATGTGAGCACTTTAGAGCCATACCTATCTTCATACAACTTGGTTGCATGTACCAGGTTCTGTTGCATACTGTAACCTTGCTTATGTATACTTTTTATTATATTTCATATGTTTTGTATATATTGATGTTTGCTTGTTTTTTCCATATCTGCTTTGTCTTCAGTAGCAGCTATTATCCTCCTGAGGAAGCAGGCATAGTTCAATGCGAAACATATTAAGGGATCACAGTCAACATTTAAGTGGACTTTACATTCTGCCAAGAGCTAATTCTCCAATAATATTGTGATATTGGGTTAAATGACATTATGGTGGTATTTGCCGCTAAGAAATTTAATTTGATTTTTGTACTATTTTACATTTTTTTTGTATAACTTGAGATGTATTCTCCCTTGTTATTTTAACTATAAATGTTTTGTGTGTTATTCTTTGGGGCACCTAAAAGTCCATGTATTGAGCTTTTTTTGGAATGTTTAAAAATTATCTTATCTGCAGCACACAGATTTGAATTAACAAATATGAATAGACCTTAAAGGAAAATTGTCACGAGAAATATATGGGGGCTGCTATACTTCACCTATGTTTAATGAATTAAACTCTGGGAGCCATTCGTCTGGGAGCCAGTCCGGTATGCATAGGCCAAAAATCATCCAGTTCAGTAGGAACTGGTTGACTTTCGGTCAGTGTGTATAGCTGTTTGCTCTACAGAACCTGGTCTAACGTCTGGATACTGTCAAGCAGCCATGCTGGAGAACAGGCATTTGCCATTGCCTGCGAAAGCTGATCAGTGTATTCTGGTGCGGGTGAATTCCTGCTGTCAGAATACAGTGTCTCAGTGGGAGAGATTACTGCATCAACATCCTGCTGGCTGAACGAAAGAAAAAAAAAATGAAAGTGTGTAGCTTACTGAATAATTGACTTGGAACAAAGATGCAGATTCAAGTCTCCTGACATCTGTCAGGTTCACCAATATTTTTCTGGCTGTAGCTCTGTCTGGGTTAGTGACTCAATAAATAGTCATGCAAGAATGAGGTTGACTTCCCCATTATTGCACCTTACAAAATCTATTTAGCAATGATGACTGTCATATTTCTATCCACAGTGTGTGTCCTGAAACCAAATATATACCGTGTTCCAAATTATTATGCAAATTATATTTTTCTCATTTACCTAAATAATTGATGTAAATAACAGTCAGCATAATTCTCATGTTATCAACTATTAAGAGTACAATTCAAATTTTATTGAACAAACCTCCTAATGATAACAGTATTTTTTTTTAACATAAAACACTTACAATGCACTGTTCCAAATTATTACGCACAGTAAGTTTCAAAACACTTTATAGGTTGTAAAGAACTGAAAATTGTCATTTGTTGTGTTTGCATATTTACTGAAATCAAAAGCTATTTCAATCAAACTTTTAACAACATTTTAACTTTTTAACCATTTTAACAGGTCACGTTACATTTTAACATAGGACCCCTTATTTGATAGCAGCTTCACAAGTCTTGCATCCATTGAACTTGTGAGTTTTTGGACAGTTTCTGCTTGAATTTGTTTGCAAGATGTCAGAATAGCCTCCCAGAGCTGCTGTTTGGATGTAAACGTCCTCCCACCCTCATAGATCCTTTGCTTGAGGATGCTCCAAATGTTCTCAATAGGATTGAGGTCAGGGGAGGATGGAGGCCACACCATGACTTTCTCTCCTTTTATCCCCATTGCAGCCATTGATGCAGAGGTATTCTTTGCAGCATGAGATGGTGCATTGTCATGTATGAAGATGATTTTATTACAGAAAGCATAGTTCTTCCTTCTGTACCAGGGAAGAAAGTGGTCATTCATAAACTCCACATACTTTGCAGAGGTCATCTTTACACCTTCGGGGACCCTAAAGGGGCCGACCAGCTCTGTTCCCATGATTCCGACCCAAAACATGACTCCACCACCGCCTTGCTGATGTCGCAGCATTGTTGGAACAGGGTGGCTGTCCACCAAGCAACCTCTACTCTGTCCATCTGGACCATCCAGGGTTGCACGGCACTCATCAGTGAACAGGACTGTTTGAAAATTAGTCTTCATGTATTTTTCTGCCCAATGCAGTCGTTTCTGCTTGTGAGCATTGGTTATTGGTGGCCGAATAGAAGGTTTATGCACAGTTGCAAAACTCTGGAGGACCCTACACCTTGATGTCCGTGGGACTCCAGAGGCACCAGCAGCTTCAAATATCTGTTTGCTGCTATGTAATGGTATTTTAGCAGCTGCTCTCTTGATCCGATGCATGGATCTGCCAGAAATCTTCCTCAATGTGTTCTTATCTGCACAAACCCGTCTGTGCTCCGAATCAGCCACAAATCTCTTAATAGTGCGATGATCACGCTTAAGTTTTTGTGAAATATCTAATATTTTCATACCTCGTCGAAGGCATTGAACTATTTCACTCTTTTCGGCAGCAGAGAAATCCTTTTTCTTCCCCATATTGCTTGAAAATGGTGCTCTGCTTAATAATGTGGAACACCGTCCTTTAGTAGTTTTTCCTTAAATTGGGCTCACCAGCCAATCTAATTATCACAGGTGTCCGAGATTGTTTTCAGTAATCAAAAGAGCCCTGACACACAAAGCCATCCATGAGTTAAACTGAAAAACTAAATATTTCATCTTTATGATACTTAAATAGAATTTGCATAATAATTTGCCTGTGTTCTTCTTGGTGCAGCAATGTGAATAATTTACACAGGTCACTCAGAACACTATAAATGGCAGCTGCTTTGCTCTGCTGTGCACAACTACTTTTTAGCCTATAGCCAACAGGTCATTCCAACCCATAAAGAAATAGGAGCTCATCTTACTATTCATGCTTCTTATTGTCAAAAAGTTTTTTGCTAGAAGGTAAGAAAGACTACTGACGTAGTATTTTACTTATGCATTTAAAAAAATGGAAAAAAATGATAAATATGTGCTAGTAAAGCTGATCGACAACCCTTTAAATTTACCCATAGGTGTGTTTTTGCTATTGCTGGGTCATTGCCAATATCCTCAGTAAATATATTCAATCTACTCAGGAATGTGTCCGTTATAAATAGTAAAAAAAGGTAGATGCAAGAAAAGATTAGTGCTCATACCCAAAGGTGTTTTACATGTACACAGAAACATTTTCTGCAAACTGTATCTTGTACTCCAGGAGCACAACTAGGATATGGAGCATTTTTGAAAAGGAAACATAGGGGTTGATTTACTAAAATGGGAGAGTGCACCAGATTTTGCACTCTCCAGCTTTAGTAAATCAACCCCATAGTGTTGCAAAGCTTTGACTGATTTTTTTTGCAGATAAAGAGGCATCATGTCCATTTTTTTCATCCCTGCCTTTCTAATCCTCCACTATGTGTAGGTGAGTTTCTTCAGTAAATATCTATTTCCATGCAAGCAATAGTGTCAGGATGTTTATATGGTCAACAGATTGAATATGTCTGCTTAAAGTTCTTATTGATCACTGACTATCTCAGAGGGGGAAGCTGCTAAAATTATACTAAACGGAATACATGAGAGCAGGGGCGGACTGGCAACTCATGGGGCCCCCAGGCAATAGGGGTTCATGGGCCCCCCGTGTCCTCGTCCACACCCAAAAAAGCCTATGAAAAAGCCAATGAAAGGTACCAGGGGCATCTCATGGGGCCCTCTATTGACCCTCGGCCCTCGGCCAGTGCCCGAGTGCTTGAATGGTCAGTCCGTTCCTGCATGAGAGGGTTCCTGAGATAGGATAAAAGTAGTGTGATTATATTGACACATTTTCCTTATTTAGGCTACAAAAATAAGAATCCCATCAATGTCACAATGTTGGAATCGAATTTAAAGCATTGTTTCACACACATGATTTGCACATATGATCCATAATTGTTCTAGTACATTATTTTTTGGAAGTGCAGTAGAATTCAATATGTTTTATATATGGTGGACATATTCCCAATTGACCAGTTTCTGGTGTAGGATACTTGTCCTTTACATTCACAATTTCAGAAAATATTTCACAAGGACTCCGGGGTTGCTTTACTAGAGGAGATGCTAGGGTAAAGTAAAAGATAAACTCAAAATGTGTTTTCTTAGTAAAGCACACCATAATAAGAGTAAAGTGTGCTAGCAATGAATAGGGTGGATGGTTTTATGATCAGTATGCTAAACAATGCTGACTTCATATTCCGAAAAAAATTGGAATTCTTAATTAAAATGAAGGAAATGAGCAATAAAAACATGTTTTACTTGGGTGTTTATTGCTGCCTGTGATATTTACCCTCTCTCTATTTGTCCTGGTAACCATTGCCCTCAGGACAAAAAGTGGAGGGCGGTTAGGATTGAGTAGAGGGATTTTACCATGTGGACTGCTTGAACTAAATTTGCATATATTCCAACAAAGCCATATGATCACTGTGACAATAGAGATGTCAGATTCCAGTCACTGCCACCAATATGCAACAAACAGGTCAGGTTGCATTGTGCTGCCACCAATACATGACAATTTTTCTCTTAGCTTCACCCAGCAGAAATATTTTTCAATCTGCCAAGTGCCAGCAGACGGATTGACACTGGGGTTGGATAATTATGCTGTTACCCCATTATACATCCAAACAACTGCCAACTTGCATTTTTAATAGAAACATGAACTATTCACAATATCTACAGTATATTACCAAACATATTGGGACACCTCTCCATATCTCCTCCATGGGCACAGGTGTATAAAATCAAGCACCTAGGCATGCAGACTGCTACTACAACCATTTGTGAAGAATGGGTGGCTGTCAGGAGCTCAATGAATTCAAGCGTTGTACCATGATAGGTTGCCACCTGTGCAATAGGTCCATCTGTGAAATTTCCTTGTTACTAAATGTTCCTCGGTCAACTGTTAGTGGTATTATAACAAAGTGGAAGCAAATGGGAACAAGAGCAACTCAACCATGAAGTGGTAGGCCACGTAAAATGACAGAACGGGATCAGTGTGCAGAAGTCACCAAATGTCTGCAGAGTCAAAAGCTAAAGACCTCCAAACTTCGTGTGGCCTTCAGATTAGAACAACAACAGTGCATAGAGAGCTTCATGGAATGGGTTTCCATAGCCGAGCAGCTGCATCCAAGCCTTACATCAACAAATGCAATGCAAAGCATCGGATGCAGTGGTGTAAAGCACGCCGCCACTGGACTCTAGAGCAGTGGAGACGTGTTCTCTGGAGTGACAAATCATGCTTCTCTCTCTGGCAATCTGATGGACGTGCCTGGGTTTGGTGATTGCCAGGAGAACGGTACTTGGCTGACTGCATTGTGCCATGTGTAAAGTTTAGGGGAGGGGGGATTATGGTGTGGGGTTCTTTTTCAGGGGTTGGGCTTGGTAACTCTTAAGGCGTTAGCATACCAAGACATTTTGGACAATTTCATGCTCCCAACTTTGTGGGAACAGTTTGGGGATGGCCCCTTCCTGTTCCAACATGACTGCTCATGTTGACAGTCATCTCTCTGTGCTCAGAGCAGACCCAAGAACTGATCAATCAAAAGTCATGTGTTTGTTCAGTTCTTGGTCTTCGAGCTTGCGGGAGACAGCTTACAGCAATGGATCGATGCTGCAGCAGGTAGTTAAGTATGTATGTTTTTTTGCTTGGGGTGTTTTTCACATAGCATTTTCTTTTGTCCACAGTCCCCCTTTACATCATAGGCCCTTTTCACATTACAGTCCCACTCCCCTTTACATCACAGTCCCCCCTTTAAAGCAATCCCACAGTGTCCTCAGTTCCCCTTCACATCACAGTGCCCCTTTACATTGCAGTCTCCTTAAAATCACAGTGCCCTCTTTACATTGCCGCACTTGTTTACATCACAGAACCCCTTTACGCTACAGTGCTTTTTACATTGCAGTCCCCTTCACATCACAATTCCCCTTTACATCACAGTGCTCCTTTACACATCATAATGCCCCTTTACATTGCAATCCCCTTCACATCTTAGTGCCCCTTCATGTCACAGTCCCCCATTACACACCACAGTGCCCCTACATGTCACAGAGCCCCTTTACAATGCAGTACCCTTCACATCACAGTGGCCCTTTACACATCACAGTGCCCCTTTACATTGCAGTCCCCTTTACATCATAGTGCCCCTTTAATCACAGGGCATCTTTACATTGCAGCATCATTGTGTCTCTTCACATCACAGTGCCCCTTCACGTTACAGTGCCCCTTTACATCACAGAGCCCAGAGGCATACCTACAGGGGTTGGAGGAGTCGCAATTGCACGTGGAGGAGTGGCAGGGGTATCTACAGTCAGGTCCATAAATATTGGGACATCAACACAATTCTAACATTTTTGGCTCTATACACCACCACAATGGATTTGAAATGAAACAAACAAGATGTGCTTTAGCTGCAGACTGACATCTTTAATTTGAGGGTATTTACATCCAAATCAGGTGAACGGTGTAGGAATTACAACAGTTTGCATATGTGCCTCTCACTTGTTAAGGAACCAAAAGTAATGGGACAGAATAATAATCTTAAATCAAACTTTCACTTTTTAATACTTGGATGCAAATCCTTTGCAGTCAATTACAGCCTGAAGTGTGGATCGCATAGACATCACCAGACGCTGGGTTTCATCCCTGGTGATGCTCTGCCAGGCCTCTACTGCAACTGTCTTCAGTTCCTGCTTGTTCTTGGGGCATTTTCCCTTCAGTTTTGTCTTCAGCAAGTGAAATGCATGCTCAATCGGATTCAGGTCAGGTGATTGACTTGGCCATTGCATAACATTCCACTTCTTTCCCTTAAAAAACTCTTTGTTTGCTTTTGCAGTATGCTTTGGGTCATTGTCCATCTGCACTGTGAAGCGGCGTCCAATGAGTTCTGAAGCATTTGGCTGAATATGAGCAGATAATATTACCCGAAACACTTCAGAATTCATCCTGCTGCTTTTGTCAGCAGTCACATCATCAATAAATACAAGAGAACCAGTTCCATTGGCAGCCATACATGCCCACACCATGACACTACCACCACCATGCTTCACTGATTAGGTGGTATGCTTAGAATCATGAGCAGTTCCTTTCCTTCTCCATACTCTTCTCTTCCCATCACTCTGGTACAAGTTGATCTTGGTCTCATCTGTCCATAGGATGTTGTTCCAGAACTGTGAAGGCTTTTTAGATGTTGATTGGCAAACTCTAATCTGGCCTTCCTGTTTTTGAGGTTCACCAAAGGTTTACATCTTGTGGTGAACCTTCTGTATTCACTCTGGTGAAGTCTTCTCTTGATTGTTGACTTTGACACACATACACCTACCTCCTGGAGAGTGTTTGTCAGGGCAGGAGCTGAGGAACGGACAGGCAGGCCTAACAATGTAACGCACTGGCTGACGACAACCACCACCCACAGACCGAAGTCCCTCAGGGCGCGGAGTCTAAGTCCCAGGCTGCCCTTCACCAGGGCCCCTGATGGTGGGGATGGACTTGACGCAGCCAGGAACCAGGTCGCGGCCCCCGAGACACCTCAGCTGCGGTAATGGCCGCCGCCAATGGCGTGTAGCTGGTGGAAGAGACAAAAGAGTAGTCAGACAAGCCGGGGTCAACAACAACAGGACAGGACAGTACAGGACAGCAGACGAATCACAGGTCACGAGCCGGGTTCAGCAACAGAGGGTCAGATCAAAGGAGAATACAAAGAATAGTCAAGACAAGCCGAATCAGATACCAGGAGAGTCACGAGAGTCAGAACAGAGTAACAGCAACACCAAGACACAAGACACAAGTGCAAAGAGCATGTGCGGGCCACAGGCTTATATGTCATCAGCCACACCCCTCTGGAGGATGGACCACAGAAACCTGAAGGCATAAAGGGCTCCCATCATGCACAGCAGAATCCAAGATGGACACCAGCACATGAAGTAACATAACCACAGGGAAAAGGTAGGACCTTGACAGTGTTCTTGATCTGGCCAACTGTTGTGAAGGGTGTTTTCTTCACCAGGGAAAGAATTCTTCAGTCATCCACCACAGTTGTTTTCCGTGGTCTTCCGGGTCTTTTGGTGTTGCTGAGCTCAGCGGTGCGTTCCTTCTTTTTAAGAATGTTCCAAACAGTTGTTTTGGCCACTTCTAATGTTTTTGCTATCTCTCTGATGGGTTTGGTTTTTTTTTTTCAGCCTAATGATGGCTTGCTTCATTGATAGTGACAGCTCTTTGGATCTCATCTTGAGAGTTGACAGCAACAGATTCCAAATGCAAATAGCACACTTGGAATTAACTCTGGACCTTTTATCTGCTCATTGTAATTGGGATAATGAAGGAAATAACACACACCTGGCCATGGAACAGCTGAGAAGCCAACTGTCCCATTACTTTTTGGCCCCTGAACAAGTGGGAGGCACATATGCAAACTATTGTAATTCCTACACCGTTCACCTGATTTGGATGTAAATACCCTCAAATTAAAGCTGACAGTCTGCAGTTAAAGCACATCTTGTTTGTTTCATTTCAAATCCATTGTGGTGGTGTATAGAGCCAAAAATGTTAGAATTGTGTCGATGTCCCAATATTTATGGACCTGACTGTACATATAAATGAACTGATCTCTCCATGTCTCTCCTGCAGACTGCTGAATGCCTGCAGGAGAGAAAGGAGGAGAAGCCTTCATTCAGCAGCTGCAGGAGGAACATGGAGAGATCAGTTCCTCTATATGCAGCCACCCCCGCCGCTCCTTCTATCCAGCTTTGTTCTGCTACCCCCCATGCACTCCTCAGCCCTCCTGAGCTCTTTTCTGGCCCTTGTGCTTTTTTCTGCCCCCCTTCATCCCCTGCAGCTCTGTCAGGTCCCCCCCTCCCCTCTCCTGCCAGCTGCTGCAAGGAATCTGTCAGGATAAACAGCAGGGATCACTGGCTATGTCCATTTATAACTGAAACATAATAAACTGTGAGGCTGCAGAGATGGAGATTGAGTGTCTTCAATCTAATTTCTCTGTCTCAAAGGTAAAACATTAGAGGTCTGTTTAGACCTCTGATATCTGGCCAAAGCCCTTCAATGGAGCTTCTAAAAAAATTGTAAAAAAAAATGTTAAAATATTGTAAAAAAAAATTAAAAAATTGGTAAAAATAAATAAATAAGTAAATAAATAAATAAACTACTGACACCAGTGGTGAAACTACCAGGGTCATAAAGGTCACACTTGCGACCGGGCTCTGGCGTTCTGCCACTGGGCTTAGAGGGAAGGGCCTCAGCCGGGGGTCAGGGGGGCCCTTCGTGGTTTCTTGCACCGGGACCCTGAAGGTTCTAGTTATGCCACTGACACTGCCCCTTTACACAATGTGGGTTTCAGTGTGATTATCTAAATGTTGATACTTAGTAGATTTACTGCTACCAGACATGATGACATTACAATGCTAATCAACTACTAAAAGACTGCAGTTCTGTCCCAAATATCCTGTTAAAACATTCAATTAGTTATCTAAAGACGTATCTATTGACAGCAGTAAAGGTTCTGCAAAGTAAGATTCATGGTCCTCCTTCGCTGTTTGGAATTTATAATACTGCTTATGGAAACAATGGTGGGGGTTGTACATGAAAGACTGACTTCTGCAAGCTTGCAACTCACTTTTGTGGGAGACTGGTGAATTTAAATGCTTTTTGTTTTTGACAAAATTTTGGGGGTGTCCAGTACTCATTACTCCCACAATCACCATGTCTGCAATGACACAGTGATCATTTGCTTTGCTGAGAAGTATAAACATATGCAAAGCCATATCAGTAACAGCTGCTACTGTATTTTTTCTAGATGCATTAGCTGTTCCTGTCATATGGAAGATAAAATCTACACCTAACACTAACCCCAAAGCTAAATATGTTCTTCTTTATCAATACTTGTTCATGCAGCTCATCTGATTGGCCTCTATAATTACCCTTCCTCTCCCTAGAGTTCTGCTCTATAGGGCTTGACAAGAGGACTCTTTTAAGTGGAAAAGAGAGACTGATTTGATGGTATCAGTACTACAGAATTATCACAGCTTCCCAAGTCTTAGGCTCCATGTACACGGGACGTTTGGAAAACACTTCTGAACGATGAAAACTGACTGCTGGAAAACTAAGGTTAAAAAACGTCTGCTTA